CAAATTTTTTATCCTCAATTTTACCATCAATTCTTTTCATACAATTCTTAGCATTCCACATTATCCAGAATTTAAAATTTAAAAAAATTCCTGTGTTCACAAAATTTGTGTTGAACAGTCACTGTCCAAAGTTGTACTGGAACCTCTTTCACAATGCATGGGACATGAAAAGTTTTTACTCTTTTGGGTGTGCATCTTTATTTTTATTCTTTATAACTGCTCCTGGGTTGGATGTTTGGATAGATTCTGTGGACTTCTGGGTTCATGGTTTGATCCTTGAAATTTTAAAAATTGTATCCCAGGGAAGTCATTGCTGTTGGGGCAGTTCTTCTACTGTATTGAAGTTTTTTGTATTTGACTGCCTCTCCTGCAAGTTCATGGGAAACAGAATGTTTGGATTAACCTTCAGGGGTCCAAACAATTCTACATGCAACTTTTGCTGTGTTCCGGGAAGGGGTTTCATGGAAGGGTGGAAAACTCTCTCCTGGGTGGATCCTATAGAGATTCTGAAACATTTTGAATCAAAAGAGGCTTCAATAGAGGCCTCTTTTGATTCAGGCTTCAATGGTGAATAACACAAGCAAATTTCAAGTAGTTTTTCCAAAATTTTCCACAAAAAACCAAAAAAAATTGCATCAAAAGAGTTTGTTATAACGGAATTCCCAAGTTTGTTATAACGAGATTTATTTAACATGTAGTCGATAGGCTTTCTGCTGGGACTTGAAAAAAAGTTTGTTGTATCAAAAAATTTGTTGTAACGGTATTTGTTGTAACGAGATTTTACTGTACATGAAATTATACAGTTTAATTGGAAGTGAGTATTAACACCTCTGGACTACTTTGATATAATTCATATTTATGACAGTGTCTTAATGGAGTCTCTCTACAACACATCTCAAGGTACCAGAAAATGTTCATTGTAGAGGACTTGGATATAACATGGGAAGAGAACCATCATAAGGGACCTCAGAAAAATTTGATGTATACTGAGAATAATTTGGCTTCAACAAGATTGTTGTATACTGTATTTACTCAAGTACCATGCACACATTTTTTCCCAAATTTCAGGAGAAAAAAAAGGGTGCGCGTCATAAGCAGGTACAAAATTTTCAAGAAGTTTTAGGAAGTTATGTGTGCATTATACTTAAATATAATGGAGAAATTTGAAACAAATATAACAAGAAAACATTTTTGTATTGAAAAACTTAAAAATTTATCAGATTTTTGTTCAATTCGTCTGCTTACACGGGGATAAAATTTTTGCAAAATTTTCAACTGAAAAACCCCTGTGCGCGCTTTACTTGAGGGCACGTGGTACTTAAGTAAATACGGTATATAGAGTCCACGTGCACTATATATACAGTATGGTATGAAAGATTGTAGTTAGAATAAAGAAACAGCTAATTTTGGAAATGTAATCATGATTCTTGTTTGGGATGCTTTGTTTTACAGAATGATATTGACCATCAAGAAAATAACTGCTGATCAAATGGCAAAATTATGAAGTACTCTAACAAGTTTTAATATATATCAGTGGTTCAAAAGAAAGAGGGCTTCAAAAAGAAAAATAACAGAGAGTCAAATTAGATTCAATACTGTAAGAGCTGCCAGAAAGCTGCTGGCTGACATTATAAATAGATATATGTACATATATGTACATATATTTATCTTTTCAATTTTATTTATGCTGTATAGTCAGGATATGATGATCTCACCCTTTATTATATGACCCAGATGATTTCCCTGTTGATGAGTACACATATGCAGACTCTGAGAGCCAATGAGGAAAACTCACTTCTGCCTTCAACCTAAAAATTGGCAAAGCATATTGCATATAAATATAGAGGGCAGTACAGGATATGCATATAAGGTTCACATATGCATTTTGTTACTCTGTAATTATTTGATAGTTTACTTGATTCAGTATTACCAATGTGCACCAATAGTCTGATAGGATATCAAAAAGGTTTTTTAGTACTACAGTTTTAAAATTGCAGTTCATGCCATCATATATTTTAAAAATGCACATATATAGATACATTACTTGAAAGCAGCATGGTCATCAACCCCATAACGATCATTCTGGATTCCAGAGTCTCTCCAGTTGTCATTTCCAGAATGCCCAAGCCTCACTGGGTCATCATCACTCTTGTCCACAGCAGCAGAGCCATAATAGTCATAGGCATTGTAAGATGAGGAATTGTAGTAAAAAATCTCTTGGCGAGCCTGTGTGAGAGCAAGTGACAAGTGGACTATCCATATGAGGGCAGCCATGATGACCAAGGCCAGGAGGAGGAACAGCAAGAGAGACAGGCCCAAAATGGCACCCTGAGTTTGTTGGTGCTGTTGCTGTTGCTGCTGTGGTGCTGATGGGGCATCACTGCTGTACAAAGAAAAAAACAAGTATATAACAAACTATGCTTATATGCATATAATGTGTATTATGCAAGACAATGTCAATCAATGTTTGGGAACTTATTTGAATTTGAAAAATGAAAAAAATAGCAGGGCAATAATTACCTTTAAATGAATTTGGAAATTGATCAACTTCATGTGAGTGATTACATATTTTTCAAAAGAAATCTGACCATACTTGTCTAAAAGGCAAATTTGAAAACATTAATTCCAAATTGCTTTATAATGGACACCAAATTTGTCCTTGATATAGAATAATGTCTCATTTTATCATCTTAAAATGTGCTGGCTGCCAATTTCCTCAAGTCTCTTATAAGACCAGTCAGGGTCATCATCACCAGTGCAAAAAGCCAAATATAATTGAGATGAATCAAAAAAAAAAAAATTTTCCTACACAAAAAGTCAACATTTTTCAAACTCCAGCCAGACTTCTCATCAAGCAGTTGAATTTTAAATGGCATATAAAGATGGGAGTGGATGTTGCAGAAATATATATTTTTGTTTAAGAAAACTGACCCTGGCCTATTGCAGTTGCTCAGCTGACTGCTGCCACAGTTGCCAACATCTGCTACAGTAGAGGAAAGAGCTTTTGCCAGCTTCTCAGGCACAATCACATGGGCACTCTGCAAAAGGATCCTGTGAACAATTTGAGCAACCCCTTCTTGACTCTCTGCTGCTGCTTCAGCATGTCTGTTAATCCCTCTGGCTCCACCAGGTGGCGCTGATGGATGTCCAATGTTACTAACTGCTGATTGCTGTGACCTATACTTTGCAGTAAATGTTAACATATGTAGTGATACATTCAAGAGAGCAATATGCTGTATGTATATGTTATTTTCTTGCCTGTTATTGTCCACTACCCTGTTCAGAGCACTGAATTGTGCCTCCAGCTCATCATGTGCCCTCAGCTCCATGATTTCACCAGCACCAGGTCCTGCAGTATTATTCCCTTCAACTGGTTTTATTGGCACTGGACTTGTGTTCATTTATTGGTGAGTGGGATTTGTTGTGGGCTTGGTCAAGGTGCCACTTTCAGAAATAAATTGCAAAAGTCATTTCTATTTGAAAAGGGAGCTTTCTTTAAAATTCAAGAACAGCAGTCCCCAAATGAACATGAGGGGAATATAGTAATCTGATTGCACTTTATTTGAATGCATGAATGATGTCCACCAAAAAGCACTCACATGTCTGTCTCCCATATCACAAGAAAATTGACAGCACTTTTTTCTTCATTCAGCAGGACTTTGAGCCAAGGCTCATGAGTGATGCAGAATCTGCAGATTAGATATTGAGAAGAAAACAGAGGGGTGAAAATTGAAGGGAGAAACAGAGAGAGAGTCAGGCTAATAAAAGCTCTGTCTATGGTAAAAGGATGAAGACTGAAAAAAGAGAGGAGATGACAAAATGACAGGGATATGGAAGAGATTAGGAAATTATTTTCCTCCCTTTGTCCTCTATTCTGACTGTGTAATCATTGAGCATTATCTCTTCTTTTTCCTGCTCCAATGTTGTCTCTGCCTGGACATATTATGTATCCCAGCAGAGTCATCTCCCCTGTTTTTATTTATTTGTTTGAAATTCATGATGCATCCTTCTCAAAAGTGTATTGCATCATTAAAAATAAAAGCTGTGGGATGAGCTGCATAATCCAGCTTGATCTCATATCAAACACCACTGATGTATATATATATATATATAAAATGGAAATATGTAATATTTTCATTTTATTTCAAACGGTGAATACCGATAAATTCCTCCTTTAGTCAAGGTTAGCGCTTTTCTAAGTAGAAATAATAATGATGCTTTTCACTCCTTAAATGAGTTTTTAGGAAATTTCAACTCCAAATAACCTGGATGATAAATAATAAACTCTCATATCATGCAATTTTCAAAGCTTATTTGCTAAATTTCCTGACATAATTCAAATCCAACTCATGCCATACATCAGCAGATACATGACAGTGCAACACATTTATTTCTGAAATTCACCATTAGACATATATAGTAGGTCAACAATATGTAATATGCAAATGATGGTTCAAGGTGAGGAAAATTAGGACTTTTGAGCTCAAAAATCTTTAGTTTCAAAGAAATATGTATTCATTTGAAGGACAACAGTGTGACAATGAGGTAAGAGATCAGGGGTACAAGAAGATATACTAAATTTGATTGCAATTTTGTGTGTTTTCTGTAGTAGTTTTGAGCTTATTCTTGATTCATTTGAAGTTTGAGAATCAACATACTTCCAGGCAATGTAAAATGCAGTAGAATGCACAAATAAAAACATTTCTTGAAATAATGGGAACCACATGCACATTCTGACCCTCAAATTGTAATAGGAATAAGTCTTAAATCACCAAAAGATAAATTTGCATACAGATTTTTTTGCATGAAAAACTTTGGGAAGCCACTTTCTGAAAATTATTAGGAATTGCTCAAGATAACTCCCTTCCCAATGCTAGGAAAGTCAATCCGGCTTTTGATTATTTCTGTAAACTTGAATCAACTTTCTTCCCACAGATGCTGTCAAAGTAAACAGGGTTTATCAGTTGACTATACAGTATGACATGGACAAAATCTCACTGACTGAAAAACTTTCAACTACGAGGTTGACTTCTTTCTGGTTGTTCCATGGACAATTCCAATTAAATAGGAGAAAACTCAATAGATGTACCTTAGAGTGTCGATTTTAAACGTTCTCTGGTCACTTCTAGTACAGGTCCACTGGGGAGCAGTTTGTGGAGGTGGACCTAGATGTCACTGTTCCAAGCAAAGCAGAGTTGTTTCTCCTGAATGCAGCCAAGAGAAAACACTCTTCATCATTCACCAAAGATGCCTGGAGCTCAAGTTCTTCATCAGCAGGAATGAAATGTCATGTGGCTCCATCCAAAAATTCATTAGATGGATCTTCAGGGCTCTGGAGCAAACTCATGCTGTCTTTGCAGCAGCAGGCTCCTGTGCTGCTAACTAAAACTAATGAGGACATCTCCAGAAATGTTCAAGGGCTAGATTTTGTAAAGATCAATCTTCATGTTGATTGTTTTTCCTTATGTATATAAGCATTTTTTAAACATATTCCAGCCTGATGTTATGCTGCCAGATGAGACATTGGACCTAGCAGCTGGTCTGAACTTCATAGGTATCCCTAAACCTTCAACAGCACTTGATGAATCCTCAATTCATTCACCCCAGAAGGAAACCAAGAAAGCTGTCATCAGGGAAGCCTCACCTTATGCATGTCACTCTGGGAAAAGAGTCAGAGGAAAAGCAAGGCTCAGACTGGGCTTTTCCAATGTTCCAATAAGTAGACATGGTGACACTCAAGACACCTCTGAGGGACATAAGAATGAGGAAAGCAGTTCTGCTGTGAAAATGAGTCTTGTCAACAGCAGTTTCTCATCCTCAGTATCTTGCAGCAGTGGGTTTATTGACTTTTTTTCAATTGAACACAATGAAATATTGCCTGCAAAATAAGGAGTCAACATAAAAACAAATACCTTTGTAAAAGATTCCTATACAACATAGATTTCAATGTACATACAAATGGTGCTCCACAATTTGACTTTAATCCATTGCTGCTGGGTATAAGGGTTGAATTGCAAAGAAGTCAGATTATTGCACAACAATATCAAACTCAATGTTTTCTACACCAAATTTGACATTTTGAGTCTCTCTGCAGGTCAAATTGTAGTTAGGGCAAGAAGTTGAATTGCAAGTCAATGTCCCAGCATATTGACCATTAAATTATTGCAAGACAGTCAGATTGTGGGATGTCAAATTGCAGGACATTAAATTGCAAGGGACTATACCTGTATGATGATTGATATTAGAAATTCAACAGAACCTATAATAGCTGCAGAGCTCCTTCACTATAAACCTGAACATCCACATTTTTTGAATGAGATATAATTAACTTCATGGAATACAATAACTTGGATATTCTGTGGCTCATTTGGATGAAAACATCATCATAGTGACATAATATGTGCCTATATACTGTATATTGTTTGATGATGTTCACTTATTGTACTCATTTGCAGAATTTGTAGCAATGCAATGTCTGAATAATTTCTCCTTTTTTTCTGCAGATGAAAAATCCACAGCTCCAGCATCAGAAGCAATCAAGCAGAATAAGTCATCAGTTCATATTTTAGCAAGTGTCCAGGATGCTGATGATGATGCAGAAAATGATATTCAGGAGAAGAATGATACTGAGACTCTGGCAACTCTTGAAAATGAAGAGGAGGGAGGAATCAAAATGGATGAATCCATGGTTACTGAACTGGATTCCTCCTCTTCTTCTTCATTGCACAGCAATGGAATAAAGAAAAGTGCAGGACTGTTTTTGCTACCAGCTGCAGATGAAAGCAAAAGTTTAGAATCCATATCTTCCTCTGGGACCACTACATCATTTTCTGCTGAAAATATCTCAAACATGTCTGCCATCAGTGAGGGGTGAGTTACACATTTATTGTAATAATAACAAGCAGTTCCCAATAGTTTCTTCACTTCAGGAAATTCACTTTTTCAGGCACCTCCTTCATCAAGATGGAAAAAACTCTTGTAAAACTGTGGCAAGGTGCTCAGAAACATCAAAGACTCCTTCTGGAAATCTAACTGGTGCAGCAGGAGATTCCAAACTGCCAAGGAAGTTTGTAATGAGTCCAAACAAATATTCTGCCATTGATGAAGAAAAAAACATGCTGCCCAAGCTCTCCTCAGTGACATCTATGGACCCAGCAGCAAAGGAAAGAATATTTAAAACCAAACAGAATGTTCATCATCCAGATGTTGCTCCAGCTATAACTTCTTGGAGATATTTCAAAAATGACCTCAGACAGCCGAAAATGCTTATTCCTGCCTCACAGACCTCAAATCTCAGCACCAGCATTTCCATGAATGACCAAACAGCACAAGACACCATCAGTACCACAGCAGAAATATTTCCAAAGGCCCAGCAACCATATGAAACAAGGAAGTTTGTCAAAGAGTCCTTCAAAATGGCTACAGGAACTCAGACAATAAATACAGAACATAATGGAGACAGAAAGTATTTGATGCAAGCAACTTCTGATCTGAGAACAGAGATGGATGCTCAGGTACAGAGACTACATCAAGAACTGAAAAAGCGCCCTCTACAATATCCCCAGATAAACAATCTTGAAAAACGTTTGGACAACCTATGTTCAACAGTTCTCAACATTGATGCTCAAGCCAAAGCTCTGGAGAAAAGAATCAATGAAGTAGCTGCTCAGACTGCCACAACAAATGCAAAATTTGAGCAAAATTTCAGAAAACTGCAAGAAGATAGCCATCATTTTGTGAAGAAGCAAGAAACCCTTTTTAAACACGTTCAAGGTTATGTTCAGAAACAGTATTCTCATCAAGAGGAACACTTTTCAGACCTGGTTGGTAGAATTGATGCATGCAGACTTCAATTCCTGAGTGGGGAGCTATTTTTGCTGTGACCCCACAGTAGGTGCACATCAGGGTCACAACTGGTGCATATGGGATATTCTGGGGTTACAAGTGTGCACTCTAGTAGAGGAAATTTTGCTACCATTCCAGGGTTACACTTGGTGCACAAATGTGAAATAACATGAGCATCACACAAATGCACCAACTGTAACCTTGGTGTAACTTATTTGTTTACAAATGTGACCCTGAGTAATCCTGGTGTGAACGCACAATTGTGGTGCACATTGGGGATATGCATGTGCAACAGAGGAACTTTGGTAGACTTCAGGTGCACAGCAGGGTCACTGTATAGAATTATGAACAAATCCCCCGTGTGCACCAATTTCCCCACTCGGGTTACTATTGTTGGAATTTTGACTATAATACTAATTTGTTTACCTATATATTGTATACTTTCATAGCTTGAGCAATATGTTCAGGACCAGCTTAAGCAGGAGAGACAGAAGGAATATTCAAAAAAGACCAGAGGGAACAGAAGAAAGAATGTGGAGCACCAGCACCAGGTGGCTCTGGTGTCTCAGCTTCAACACACTGTAGCAGTTCTCAGCAATCTCCTCCAGTCCACCAGCAAACACCTCAACAAAAGACTGTCTACTTTGGAGCTCATGTGTCTCAGCAATAACTGCCCCAAGATAATGACTCATCCACAGGAAATGGAAGATGACTCCTGCTTTTACAGGCTGAAACCAAGAAGGATCAGTGACACAGCCCTTGTGGCAAGCAGAAATACCAGCTGCATCATGATGAGGAATACACCCCCAACAGTCCTTCAATCAATCATGCCTTGGATGAAGACTGATGCTGTTCAAAAAAATGAGAGAGTCAAAAAGGCTGAAGTTACTCAGGAAGAGCACTGGATTGAGCAGCAGTTGTGCCAGGTGCTCATGTTAAACCAGCACAGTGGTAACACTGCTCAAAAAGTATCTGTGCTTTCTCACAGAGCTTCACAGAAAATGAAAAGGAGAACCCATCAATATTGAGGACATCACTGCAGTTGTATATATACTTGGCCTTACATCAGATCAGTCAATTTCTCTCATTTCTCAATTTCTGGTTGGAAATGAAAATGCAATAAGAGGGTATATATTTAGTGACTTGAATATTCATAAAAAAAACTCTCCATACAGGAAAAATACTGCCATTTATGGAAAACGGTTCAAGGGATCATGTGTACAGCAGTATAGTACTGTACAACAAATTCAAGTATGAATTGATAAAATGGTGAGGAAGTGTACTGGTTGGATCAATAAAATGCTCCACTGCTGTGTGTGTGTATTTGTTAATATAGGGGGAGGGGGTTCATGCCATCAGAACTTCCCCATTGAATGAGTTTGATCAATAATAACTTGAATGTCCTTATATAGATGCGCGCCTGCAGGTGAATTCTCCAGTTCCTTGGCATAAATTCTCTCATGACGTTTCTCCACTGAAATTGTGCGTTACCTCCATTAAATTCAGAGAAAACCTATAATTGCAGCAGTGCTTGAACAATGAGAAAAGTGACTAGTGATGATGATGATCCCCAAAGGAAGAAAGGTAAATCAGCAGAAGACAAGTCCAGCAAGAAGGGCGTTAAGAAGAAGAAGAAGGGAAAGGGAAGAAGCAAGGATCTGACTGAGGAAGAAAGAGCTGAAGTCAAAGAGAAGAAATCTGCAGCCCTGCAAGAGGTGCAAAGGAGAAGGGAAGAACTCCTGACCACATTTCTCAAGGTAAAAAATTACAATGATTGAACTTCTATAAATAAACCCAGCACAAATGATTATTCCATTTTCAGCAAGTTTGTTTTATTTTATTTTGGAGAAAAATTCATGTGCTATTTAAAATCATCAGATCAGATCCTGTACATGTGCATGCATACATCATCTTGTTGCCCTTTCTCTCATTTGTAAAATATTTTTATAAAAACTTTTACGTAATTTCATTTTTATTTTAAGGAAACCTCTTCCTGAATTTCAGAAAATTTCATGGATGGTCAGTTGACAATGTACTCTATATAAATGATAGATACAGTGTTGTAAAATAAATCTATATATGGCCACTGTTTTGCAATAATTCAGTAATTGTCACAGCCTGCGTAGTCATTTTTCTGCATAGCTTTGAAATGAACATTGTGAGTTCAGAGGAATGAAAAAAATTACAGCATCATATAGCCATCAGCAGTATACATTTTTTTACATAATTTATAAGAGACTATATACTCTTAAGATCCCCTGAGTCATCCTGACTATATATGTCATTGATTTAGACCAGACTGCTTGAACTATGTGTCCAGATTTCTTTATTTCAATGCATTGTATTCCTCCTGCTCCTGAAATCCTCTGCTGCACAAAGTTCAGAGCTGTATACAGGTGATACCTTGCAATTCAACCTCATACAATTTGATCACCCTGAAATTCAACAGTCAAATTTTCAGGGAGGTTGACTTGCAATTTCACCCTAGCTTGCCTCACAAGTTGACCTCCTTTTTCCATTATTCTTGCACTTTTGTACTCATATTTTTTTTAATTTCACAGTGTCTCGCAATTTGACCCTATAGTTTGGCAACAAATCAGGGTCTAATTCCGAAGTACCACCTGTACAGTCATTAAATTGAATGTAAACCTTTTATTACTCGCGTGCGCTCTTTGATAATGACACACCGGACCGCGCGCCTCAGACCAAGTTGGAAAAGGAAGAGGAGCTCCGTCGACTGAATGACGTGCGACTGGATGACAAATGGCGGCGCACGATGCGCGCCGCCAAGTCGGAGTCTCTGCGGACACAAGCGCGTCTCGGCGATGCAGCGTTTCGCCGTGCGAGCCAGGCCAAGGATGCTGTCATTGCGGCTCTACTCACAGAGCTGGAGGAAGCGGAGGAGCAGCAATACATGACAGATCGCGCGCATTTGGGACACCTGCGGGCGTTGCTGTCGGCGACTCATGAGGCCAGGCTGGCTGCTGAAGCAAAGCGTCATGATGAGCGTATGCAACATAGAGTTCAGGTGCTTCATCTTTACCTTTTCTGGCATCTATACATATACACAGTTGAATCTTTTTAAGTCACATTTTGAGGGATCAGCAAAACAAAATTGACTTGGGGAGGTATTGCTTCATCTTCAGCTACAATATAGAGCCATTTTTTCTGGGAAACATACAAAAATAACCAAAAATTTTAAATGGTGATAGTCAGGGGCTTATATGGCTTCTTGAATAAGTTGAAAGGATGATGGACTCAGAGGCATGGGGTTCATCTTCCCAATGAAGTCTTTCACTTCCTTTTAAAACACATCAATTTATTTTCATTGCTTTATTTCTTTCTTGTGGCAAGAAAATAATAGCCAACAGGCCACAGCAGAAAATTCAACTTTTATGAGACATTACAGGGGAAAATAGCCTTTGACTTAGGGAGGTTTTCAATCTATTGTTTCTTAAGCAGATTCAGATGGGGACCTGAAAAAATGTGAGTAAGGGGGGGTATTTGGCTTAGGGATGTTTGAGGTATTGAGGTTCAACTGTATACAGATCATATCTTCATGTATTGATGCTGTAAACTTTTTCATTTTCATGTTTTTTTACAGGAAAACATACACCTTATCATGAATATATATAGTAAAGTCAACCCCCACAAAACAGACCTTCCATGCAACAGAGTTTTGCAAAACAGACTGCTTCTGCAGCTTTCCCTCTTGTACAAAAGACTATAAATATGCTTATTAACAGACTTCTGTTGGTTAAAAATTGATGGTAACCAACAAATAAAAATTTTAATTTTTTTGATACTTTAATTGAATTTGCATAACAGACTTTTCACACAACACAAGGGAAAAAGGGTAAGTGACTAAAGTCTATTGCACAAATTCAATCTGTTGTGTGGGGGGTTGACTGTACTTATTGAAGGATACAGTCAACAAGCTGAAAATTTTACAGACCTTAACAGCATGAGTTGTATTCAAAGATAATTCTCTGATAGCTGTATTATACCGGTACCAAAAAGATATTCATGATATTATTCCAGTTTATCTGATGTATTTTTTCTAGAGTGCTCTGAAGCAAGGTATATCAAAGAATTTCAGGTTACTCTTGCTGTCTATTTGATTGGATGTATAGGTCTTATGGCGCAAGGAATTACTGGAGGATAGGAACGACGGTTCAGATCTTTCCCTAGAACGGTAGAACCGTCTACGTTGTGTACTACGTTTACACGTCGTGGTCGTCTTTTGATTTTTCCGACGGTACCTTGTGTTGTTAGTCACTCACTTTTTTCGGATTGGCCTACAAGAGCCTTCTAGGTTGATTTTAGCCTTTCATAAGTTGCTTATACAGTATATACAGTAGAGTATTTCGAAATAATTTCTGATTACAGTATGTTAGTTTCTGCTTACGTTTTTAAGCCATGAAATTTACATTTTTATTGAAAAATCATGAAATACCCAGTTTCATCATTGGAAAATGTCTAACTAGGTTTTGTAATATTATGTGGAGCCACAAAATTTCTGATTTTTTGCCTCATTCAAATGTTTTTTTTTCTCCAGAATTGCCCTGATTCGTCAGACAAGTTTTGCCCACTCCCTGCGTTTGCAAGCTGAAGAGCAGTTGGCAACCCTAAACTCAGAATTGGCAGCCCTATTGCAGGAGTCACAGTCTCAGCTATCTGACAGCTGGAAAGTCTACAAGGACAGCAAACAGAGAGATGATGAATATGCAGCTGAACAGGAGCTGCAAACTAGAGAGTGTCAGAGCTTGGCAAAAACTATTGGTGATGATTTTTTATATATTTTAACAGCCGCTTACAAAAAAATATTAATCAAAAAATTAGGGTTCATAGTAATGTATTCAATACGACTCTGATGCAGTATAATATGTATTGCAGCCACAATATGAATTCTGAAGATAACAAATGCATTTTGAATGAAAATTGTTTCATAAGTTTTTAGTATTGAACAATAAGCTGCCATATACAGTAATATGTTTTATTTATAATATTTTATATGCAGTATTAATGTATTGTTTACAGTTTTGCATTTTTATATGGTATTTTTTTCTGGACAGCTGATTTGAAAATTGAGTTGGCACAATTGCGGGAAGATCGTGCAAATTTGGTGGCAGATTTGCGCACTGCTCGTACAGAATGCACAGCTCATTTGCACACGCTGAAAGCCCAGACAGCTGTTGATAAGGAACACTGGCTGAAACTTACTAAGAAAGTCACACTAGAATCTGAAGCCTTAAGAAAGGTATAATTCATACATATGGTGAAAATTAACAAGATTATTCAAATTTCAATCCCCCTGCTGCTTCTGTCTATTTCAGAAATTATTTGAAAAGAAACAGCAGCTGGATAAAATTATCAGACTTGGGTATCAATGCAGGAAGC